AAATCAATTTCTAGCCAGAGTTTTCTGTGCATATCCTCAAAGCCTTACTTAACCAACCACTAAGCCAAGTATTTTTCCATGAAAAATGGCCCTCAAGTGAAAGGTTTTAGTCTCACTTCAGTTACTGCATTGCGATGGAGATGCGCTGACAACAGCAAACAGTAAAATTACAACTTATTAACAGATGAAAATCAGGGCTTACTCATAAATAATGTAAACAGCAATGTTAAACAGACAAGTGTCAGTGATCTAGAAACTGTCTCTTCCAGGTAGGCTAGTCTATGCTTCTAACCCTGCTCTGCACATTTCTCACCTTTATCTCACATCAGTCCTCTCAGTAGCCCTGAATCTTCCAAACTTATCTTAGTTCCAAAATCACAATATAATTATTTAATAACCATATATATATATTTTTTAATGCTAAACATTTTTACCATCGCCTGTTAGAGACCCCTAGTGATCTGGGTGGGTGAGGCCACCTCTCCACTCTCCCACTAGTTTTTCTCACTAGTCTTACACTAGATTCTCCGACACAAAGAGCTCATTTCTGCCTCAGGGGTTTGCCTGAAGTTGCTTGGAAATTTTTTATCTCTGCAGCTCAAATCTCACCTTCTAAGCCTTTCTTAGTGTTTATGGGGGCTTTTTAAGCCCCCATAAATCTCCATCATTCTCTATGCCATTATCCTGTTTATTTTCCTCATACCACGGCTATTCTGGGTTCTTTACTTATGTGTTTATTATCTGTACTCTCCCAAGGGGGAGAACATGTGTCTTGCTTATTGCTATACCCTCAAAGCTCAGAATAGATCCTGTCTCTTGGTAGGTAATCAATAGTCGGTTGAATTAATGAACAAACTCTTGAATGCATTAAGAAATCCAGACATATTGAAAATGGTTAACTATCCACGACCATAATCACAATGCTCTTACACTTACTAATAGAACTAAAGTTTCCCAATAGGTATCATCAATATGGAATTAGGGAACTCTGAACAGGCAATATTCTTTCCCCTTTGCCTTCCAACCTCAGCATTCCAACACACAAGATTCCAAGAGAGTGCTGTCACCCCCTGAATCCCTAATGTTCAAAGACAGAACTCTTTTCTTTGTTTCCATACCAACACAAGATGAGTATGCTTTTGTCAATCATTAAACTTCCTGTGGCCAGGCACAGTGGCTCACGCCTGTAATCCCAACACTTTGGGAGGCTGAGGCTGGCAGATCACTGGAGGTCAGGAGTTCAAGACCAGCCTGGCCAACATGCTGAAATCCCATCTCTACTAAAAATACAAAAATTAGCTGGGCATGGTGGCAGGCGTCTGTAATCCCAGCTACTCGGGAGGCTGAGGCAAGAGAATCACTTGACTCTGGGAGGTGGAGGTTGCAGTGAGCCGAGATTGTGTCACTGCACTCCAGCCTGGGCAACAAGAGGGAGACTATCTCAAAAAAAAAAAAAAATCTGTTTAAAAACTTATTTTATATTTTTCTCTCTTGCCTCAGTTTCCCTCAAGTATGTCTTTTTCATAAAGAAAAAGATTATTACTCCTCATCTTCTAAGACCTTTAACATGGCAATTAGTGTTTTGAGTAGTATGGGGGTGAGGAGTATATCAACATCAAAATACTATTCAAAAGCATCACAATTGGCTTATTTTTCCCCATTGTGGAGAAGTGAATTGAGAAAAAAAAAATCAGACTGATTTTAAGAAATGAACCACCTCTAACATCCTACAAGGCTATGAAGATTCCCAAGCAGGCAGTTTACACTACTTGATTCTCGACCTTTTATACCTAAAGGTCCTACTGCTAGTGGGACACACTTTCCGTCCCCGAAGTAGCAAGTACTTATGAATGCATCTAATTTATTATGTATTCTCAATCTCTAACAAACGTGATTTTTTTCCCTTCCAAAATAATTTCCCAAGATGAAAACGGCAATAAAACAATGTGCCTAATAATAATATACAATCAGGGACTTAGGTGAAAGAAAGAACTTGAGAACTATTTTACAGACCATACATACAGTCATGCCTCACTGAACAGTGGGAACAGGATCTGAGAAATGTATTGTTAAGCAATTCTGTCGTTGTGCAAACATCAGTGTACTTACACAAACCTAGATGGTAGAGCCTACTATACACCTAGGCTATATGGTATAATCAATTGCTCCTAGGCTACTAACCTATACAGAATGTTACTGTAGGCAACTGTAACACAATGGTATTTGTGTAGTGCTTATCTAAACATACCTAAAATACGCTGTACAAAGGATTAAAAGATGGCACACGTGTACAGGGCATTGGCCATGAATAAAGCTTGCAAGCCTAGAAGCTGCTCTGGATGTTAGTAGCAAGTGAATGTGAAGGCCTAGGACACTACCATGCACTACTGTACAACTTACACTCTACAGTTAAGCTACACTAAATTTATCTTTAGATATATTTCTTCAACAATAAATTAACCTTAGCTTACTGTAGCTTTTCTATTTTATAAACTTTTTGGCTCTTTTGTAATAACGTTTAACTTAAAACACAAACACCTTTTATAGCTATAGAAAAAAATTTTATATCCTTATTCTATAAGCTTTTTTCTACCTTTTTTTTTTTTTAACGTTTGTTACAAACTTAAGATACAAACACATTACCCTAGGCCTACACAGGGTCAGGATCAAGACGTCGCTAGTCGGCAGGAATTTTTCAGCTCCATTATAACCTTTCGGGGCCACCGTTGCATATGCGTCTGTCCTTGACCTAAAGGTCGTTATGCGGCACGTGACTGTATTTTGATTCTGTAACCTAAAACATATCACTTCTGAAAAACTGTATTTCTAACCAATATATATGAAAATGTCTGTCTCAAAACACTTCTCTATGTCTCATGGTAAATCTGCCACGAGTTCAATTAGCCAATTCCTGGCAAGGAATCCACAGGTTTTCCCTTCTTTAGGAATGTCAACCATTTTGCCTTTTATTTTTTTCTTTAAGATTCAATTATGATGCACTAAGAGGCTGGGCCAAGTCCACACTAACATCAATTCCTCCGACCCTGCAGCTGAAACCCTGGCAGAACTACGCCCCCTCGGAACACAATGCCCAGATCCTCTCTCCCTGGCTCGGTTTAGCTGGTGGGGAGCAGTCCACATCACACCCCGGTGAGCTGGGCGGTGGCAGGACTTTACTAGAACTCTCTCCTTCCCGTTTCTCCACGCACCACACCACTGGAGGCGCTCTCCCTTCACTGCGGTTGGGTCAATGTGGACGTTTTCCACTCGGCCAGCTCCCCACGAGCACAGGAGGGGGAGGGAAAGCGCAAAGGGGCCACCCACGCCAGGCAGGAGGTGAGAAGGGAGCCCAGGGCCGAATGCAGGCCAACAGACCCGCAGCACAACTGCACCTTTTCCAAAGGAGCAACCCAGACGAGTAGACAAAAGCACCTCCTAAAAAGGTCTGGGTGCCAAGGCCTTTCCTTCCTTACTTCGAAGCCCAACCAACCCAATAAATCCACAACCCTGGTTCCCGGGTACACACCCGGCTCCTGCTACGGGTGGGTGCCTAACTTCCGAGAATCGGTACGCTGGGCACCACAGAGGGTAGAAGTGGGAGCCGGGTGCTGTGCACGTGTTCCCCGAAACGAAGACGGACAATGAGAACAAGCCCGGCCTCCAAGGGCCGCCCCACCCTTCTCCCCGCGCCTCCAACCAGGAGGGGCGCCATCGCCCCGAAGTCTGCAGACAAAGCCCCCTCGGGGCGGAGAGGAGGGCCCAGCCCAAAGCATCTGGTGCTGCACACAAAAGAGGGAGGGGCGCGAGGGGCGGCGCAAAGCGAGAGGGCGCGGCACTCACCCACGGAGCCCGAGGAGCCCCTGCGCTTGGGCGCGGCCGGGGTGGAGGGGGGCGCGGCGGGAGCCGGGGCGGGCGGGGTCCACGCGGGCTCAGCCTGGGGGCTCACGCTGGCCGGGGGAGGAGGGGGAGGCCGGGCCGGAGGCTCGTCGTCCTCAAGGAGCTTGGAGGGCGAGACTGCGGCAGCAGACAGCGAGGATGGCGCGGGCACCGTCGACGACACCGGGCTCGGGTCCCAAGACGGCTGCCGCTCCGGGGCGGCGGGGGGCGCGGCCGGCAGGGGTCCCCGGGGCGCCGGCGGTACGAAGTCATTTCCGAAGTCCATCAGGGGGGCGCCGGCGGCAGGGGCGGTGGGCACCGGGGCCGCGGACAGCCCAGCGGCGGGCTTCCTCTCCAGCACCTCCAGCTCCTCCAGGTCTTCGTCCTCGTCCTCTTCTTCCTCCTCCTCTTCTTCCTCCTCGTCCTCGGGCTCCCTCACGAACTGGTACTTGAACGCGGGCTGCGGCCGGGGTGGGCTGTCCGAGGACGAGACCAGAGGCGACTGGTCCAGGTCTTCCATGGCTGGCGGGTGGAGATGATGCTGCAGCTGCTGCTGCCGCCGCCGGAGCCGCGTCTCAGAGCCGCCGGCGGTTGTGGGGGTTGGGGAGGACTGAGAGGGGCTGGGCCGAGCGAGCCGAGGGACCTACTGTGGTGACGGCTCCCGGAACAATGAGACTGCTCCTCCTGCCTCCGCGCCGGTGATGCGCCACCCGCCCTGTCCCCAGTTGCCGCCGCCGCCGCCCAGACGAGCTAGGAGAGAGGCCAGCGGACTCTCCGCCCAGTTTGGCGTGACTCACCCTACCCGGGGGAGGGCAGGGACTGGCGCGGGAGGGAGAGAGCCAATCGGCTACAGGATAGAGAAGATAGGCGTCCAGCCAGGCCAACGGAGAGGGAAGGAGATGAAAGTGGGTGGGGATTACGGCACTTCCTCTCTCTTACCGGCGGGGATTGCGTTCAATGGGCGGTGCTGGGAGCTGGGAGCTCCACCCCCACTTTGAGTAACTGTGAGTTGGGGTGGGGTCTTGGCCTTGCCGGCAGCTGGGGGTCCGTCTGTCGTAGAGCACTGGGAAAGGGGGCGGGCTGCTGGCTGGGAGGGGTCGGCGCGGTTCCTGGCGCGCCACCGGAAGGGCGTTATCCTGGGGGACTGGGAGTGGAAACTTTCCTCCCGGGAAAGGAAGAAACCCGACTGGAGAAAGGTATTAACGGGACTGTTAAGTGGGCCCTAAGGATTTTTAAAGATTTTAGAAATAAAATATTATTTTTTCACTTAATGTTCCAAACCACATCACTACTACTACCACCCTCAAATAAGAAAAAACTTGTTTTTTTGACAGACTCACTCAGTCTAAACCGCAGCCCCTGGAATTGGTAGGCAAAACAGCTGTGCTGAATTAACTGGGGATCTGGGGCCGACCATTTGAAAGTCTGCTCTTCTTCCAAAGCGAGTCTGGGGCCCTGCCTGATGCTGGACTCTTACATGGTAGGAGAGTGAGTCACCCAAAGAGAGAGGCGGCGGGAGACCGGAAAGTGGAAATACAAAGATGCCTTGGAAAGCTAATTTGGTTCACGTTACATTTCAGTCACCTTAGGTTCATGAGTCAACATTTCGGATGATTCAGGCCTTCTGGGAGTCAGGAAGCCCCATACTCATTGGTTTGATACGCAGGAATAAGCATGATCCCCATTCCACTTTTTCTGAGGCTGGAGAGTTTAAAGAAAGTAATTGCAGAACATCTAAGAATCAGGATCTTTCTGATTTACCTTTCAAAAATACTCACTGCATGCCTACTCTAGAGGCCTTGCAGAGAAAAGGATAACCCGCTTTCAAGTTGCTCAAAGTCTAAATCTGTGCTGTACCTGACAGGTATTGGCTACTTAGTCACTGGCTACTTGTGGCTACTGATTGAACACTCAGAATGTACGTAGCTAGGCTGAAATTAGATGTGCTGTGTCAAATGCGCACTGGATTTCAAGAATTAGTACCCCCCAAATGTAAAATATCTCCGCTTTCGTATTGACTTAATGTTGAAATTGATATTTTGGATATATTGGGATAAGTATAATATTAAGTTAATTTTACTTGTTCTTTTTAAAGCAGCTTCTAGAGTATTTTAAATACATACTGGCTCACATTATATTTCTTTTGGACAGTGCTAGTCTAGATTAATAATTAAGAAATTTTGATTGCCATGGGGAATCACTGGTTATTTAAGCAAATTCTTAGCTCCAACTAATTTATATTACTGTGGCTTAATTTGGGTATTAAAGAAGAAAAGTAGGAGTTGGAGGGAGGGTTAAATAGGTGGAACACAGAAGATTTTGGGGGCAGTGAAACTGTTCTGTATTATCCTGTATTGGTGGATACATAACATTATGCATTTGACAAAACCCATAGGACTATACAACAGAAAGAGTGAACCCTAATGTAGACTATTGACTTTAGTTAATGATATGTCAATATCAGTTCATCAGTTGTAATAAATGTACCACTTCAATGCAATATGTTAATAATAGAGGAAACTGGTTAGGGGGCAGCAGTGGGAGTGTATGGAACTCTGCACTTCCTGTTCACTTTTTCTGTAAACCTAAAACTGCTCTAAGAAATAAAGTCTGTGAACCTTTAAAAAAGGAAAAGAATAAAGATTTCCTGGCAATGTTACTTGATTGGGTTAATTATCAACAAGATATTCAAGACCTATCACATCAATTCCACAGAGAACTGGCTTTATTTGTACAAAACGTTTGTGACTTGCTTTGAGCTTGGTTTTATTTTTTGGAGGGGTTGGGAAGAATAGGAAGAGAGATGTATTGATGTAGAATTTTGGGGCGGGAGGTTAAAGCCAAATGAATTTAAACAAAACAAATTTCTACAGTGATGACTACAAGAGACATATTTGAAGTCTTTGTCAAATATTTATCAAAAATTATCAACAATTTGCCTGATTTTCAACCAATTGCATACACATACAAAAATATACTAACAATATTTTATGGTATGACCTTTTCTGTTGTCACAGTTTAGCTATCAGCAGTTCAGTCTTCCCCTTATGCTTTTCCCACTATGAGTGTTCTGATAATCCTTAGTGATAAGTTTCACAGGGCTTTTATATAGGTCTAATATAAATAAGACTTACGTTATTTGTAAGTTGTTTATATGATAGTTCTACATTCATATATCCCTGTACCTACTACTACTAAAATAGTCTCAAGGGAATATCTTTACTCAAAGTTTCACAAAAGAATAATTGTAAATAGTAGATTTACAATTTTAATAGGAAATAACAGTTAATATTGATGCAATAATATAAGCACTATCTGGTGCAGAGTAAAAATAAATTTTATTAATCTCAGTGACTTCTAAAAAAATAAGTATTTGATAGATAGATGAGTAAAGAGTTTGCCCAGCGTTCATAGAATGATCAATAAAGCAAAAAGAAAGGAGGCTGTTGCTGCTCTACCACATTTAAAAGTAAAGCTAGTGATACGTTATTGTAACTAGATGTGAATATCACTCTCACTAACAGAATTCTGGTGAACATTGGAACCAGTTAAAGGAAAAATGCACATTCTAGGTATTAATAATAGTTTTAAAATAATTGTTCAATGATTTATATTTGAAAATAGCTTATCGGCCGGGCACGGTGACTCATGCCTATAATCCCAGCACTTTGGGTGGCTGAGGTGGGTAGATCTCTTGAGGTCAGGAGTTTGAGACCAGCCTGGCCAACATGGTGAAACCCCATCTCTACTAAAAATACCAAATTAGCAGGGCATGGTGGTGCACGCCTGTAACCCCAGCTACTTGGGAGGCTTAGGCAGGAGAATTGCTTGAACCTGGGAGGCAGAGGTTGCAGTGAGCCAAGATCGTGCCGTTGCACTCCAGCCTAGGTGACAAGAGCAAAACTCCATCTCAAAAAAAAAAAAAAAGAGAAGAAAAGAAAATACCTTTTCAGAAGTAGAAGATTAAAGTTTTCAGATACCACTGGTTAGTAGCTGTTCTCTCTGAGAACACTACAAGAGAGCCAGCCTGGTAGAATCATAGAATCTCAGGGTTGGGAGAACTTTGGGAGGTCAGCTTGACCAATCTCCCTTCCATTATCAGGGTCTCACTTATAAGCAAGAGCTAAATAATGTGTACATATGGACATAGAGTTTGGAACGATAGTGGAGACTCAGAAGACGGGGGAAGGAGAGGGGATGATGAGAAATTCCTTCTTGGTACAATGCACATTATTAGGTGATAGATACACTAAAAGGGTGACCACTATGCAATCAATACGTGCAACAAAATTACACTTGTACCCATAAATTTATACAAATAAAAAATTTAAATAGTTAAAAAGAAATTCTGAAGAGTACCAAAATGATGTTTCAGTCTCTTTTAAATAGAAAGATTGAATGTAATTCAGTGGTGCTCTTCAACACAGGCCAGTCATTTTCAGTAGGTGAAAATCTGTGGTTGACTGCTCTTGAAACTGGTGTGTCTGTAATCCACCTCTCATCTTTCTTCTCTTGCTGAACCATCCCTTTTCTGCTTTCACTTTATACTTTTTCATAAGATAAATATTTGTTGGGTATACAGTCTGCACCAGGCCCTGCTCAAGACTTTGAAGAATACAGCACTAAGCCAAACAGACACAAATGTGCTTGCATGTTTTCAGTAAGAGACCTATTAGTTGGAGAAATCACCCATTCCATTTCTGTAGTATTATTTGCAGAATGCTAAATTGACACCTAAGCTGGTATTTGTAGAACAAGTTAATTGTACTTGCATTATGTATGCCCCTCAAAAGAGTTAAAAGGCGCAGGATGGGTATACTCTTGCCTACATGTAGCATGATGTGAACTCCAGATGAGAGGTGGATTGTAGAGAAACCTATTTCAAGAGCAGTCAACCACAGCTTTTTCACCTCTGAAAATGACTTGCCCGTGTTCAGGAGCGCCACTGAATGACATTTGACCTTTCTATGTAAAAAAGACTGAAATATCATTTTGGCACCGTTAAGTGAAAAATTAACAGCATGCTAAGTTGTTGTCCCTGTCATTTTGCTGGGATGTTAGATTTTATGAAATGTACCATTGTGTGAAATGCACCATTTTGTGAAATACAGGTCATGGTTCTATTCAACATCTTAACCTATATTAAATCCGTTCTGTAATAAGAATAGAAATATAAATATAGGATCAACTTCTTCAGTCATGCTAGTTAAGCATTGACAGTTAGTGTTGGACCTAAAATAAAAATGTTAAGTCCTAAAAAGAAATCACATAATAAGCAAATGAAAGTCATAATTAAAATTGAACCAAATCTTTCTCCTTTAACTGTTTTCAGTCCTCTGCATTATTAGAAATTAGGCTATTTGAATATGCATTGTTTCCCTGGAGAAATTTATTTTAATCTAGCAAAAAAATTATTTCAGATCCAAGAAAGTTAATTTTGATCTAGCAGTACAAAACCAAGCAGAAGACGTCCTATGCTGTCTTAGACAAATAAAAATGTGTCCTCATATGAAGAATGCAGACAAGAGTCCACAAAATTGAACAACTCATTCTAATATATAACTTATTATTTTTAATACCTAAAGGTTGAAGTGTAAGTTCTGTTATTTCATCTTCAATGTAGATAGATAGAAACCAAGTGGTCACTGTCTTTAAATATCATTCATTGATTCACCTAAAACCTACTGACCATCTAGGCTCTGGTGATAAATAATAGATAAAACACATTTCCTAATGTCAAAGAATGTATAGTCTAGTTTACATAAGAATGTATACATGTATATACATATATGTATATGATATAGATTTATGTATCTATATATACATATATGTGTGTATATGTGCATGTGTGTATATATATCTATCCACACACAGTAGTTCCACTGAATCCATGCTTTCACTTTCCATAGTCTTAGTTACCCTCAGCCAGCTGCAGTTCAAAAATATTAAAATGAAAACTCCAGAAATAAACAATTCATAAGTTTTAAAGTGTGTGCTGTTCTGAGTAGCATGATGAAAGAAATCTCGGCCGGGCGCGGTGGCTCAAGCCTGTAATCCCAGCACTTTGGGAGGCCGAGACGGGCGGATCACAAGGTCAGGAGATCGAGACCATCCTGGCGAACCCGGTGAAACCCCGTCTCTACTAAAAAAAATACAAAAAACTAGCCGGGTGAGGTGGCGGGCGCCTGTAGTCCCAGCTACTCGGGAGGCTGAGGCAGGAGAATGGCGTGAACCCAGGAGGCGGAGCTTGCAGTGAGCTGAGATCCGGCCACTGCACTCCAGCCTGGGTGACAGAGCGAGACCCCGTCTCAAAAAAAAAAAAAAAAAAGAAAGAAATCTCAAGCAGTCCCCTTCAGTCCCTCAAGGGAGGTGAATCATCCCTTTGTCCAGCGATCACACTATCTATGCTCCCTGCCCTCCCCTCGTGATAGAGAGTCACTTAGCAGCCATATCTGGGATCAGATTGGCTGTCATGGTATCACAGTGCTGCGTTCACTTAACCATTATTTTACGTAATAATGGCCCCAAAGTGTGAGGGTAGGGACGCTGGCAATCTGGATATGCCAAAGAGAAGTCATAAAGTGCTTCCTTTACATGAAAAGGTGAGCCGGCTGTGGTGGCTTGTAGCTGTAATTCCACACTTTGAGAGGTGGAGGTGGGCAAATCACTTGAGGTCAGGAATTCAGGACCAGCTTGGGCAACATGGCAAATCTGGTTTCTACAAAAAATACAAAAATTAGCTGGGTGTGATGGAGTTATGCATTGCATAGCTGCGATGGAGTCGCAGCTACTCGGGAGGCTAAGATGGGAGGATGGCTTGAGCCTAGAGGGGTCGAGGCGTCAGTGAGCCCTGATCACACCACTGCACTCCAGCCTGGGCGACAGAGCAAGACCCTGTCTCTAAAATAAAATCAATGAAAAGGTGAAAGTTTGTCATAGATATGTATGTATAAGAAAAAACAGAGTATATATGTAGGGTTCAGTACTAGCCACCATTTCAGGGATCTGGGGGTCTTGAAATGTATCCCCCAAGATAAGGAGGACTACTTCATACCTTTGCATGTGGGGGAAAAGAGAGAGAGAGACATATTCCAGCAAGATTTGGGATAAGGCCTCATAAAAGTTGACACTTGATCTTTTAAGATAGAAAAAGATAGGCATTTAAAGAAAAGGGAATAACATCTACAGAGGCAGGGTGAAATGAAACTTCGGCAAAGATTCAAGACACAGAGAGACATCTGCTATAGCTAGAAAGGTCTGAAGTGATTGAAGATAAAACCAGAAAAATAAGCTAAGTACAGAACACTGAAGGTCTCAAGTGCCATGCTGAAGAGTAGCAGCATTTGTCTCCCAGAGTTATTAAAGATCTTTTGAAGCAGTGTGGTGGGATGACCTGACTGGTAATTTACAAAACAACAGTGACAGAGGATGGATTTTGGGTGCTAGAGTAAGAAAACCAAATACTGAAAATGCAATTATCATAGTTCAGGTAACCATTGCCTTTATTTATAGCTTTATTATAACAACTGTGGTTTAAGTGAAACATAACTACTGCTTTTAATTCTGGCAAAAGTTGATAAAAGCCTAAACTAATATCATAGGAAATAGGGAGGAAAAGATAAATTTAAAATACATGTAAGAAGGTGAATTCATACAATCTGATGACTGATAGGATGGAGGGACTAATGGAAAAGAAGAAAGAAAAGCTGATTCTAAGGTTTAAGCTTGGGTGACAAGGTAAATTGGTGCTGCCATTATCAAAGAAAAGAACTCTGAGGAGAGAGCACAGTTTGGATGCATAATGCTAGGGAGACTATAATGACCTCAGTTTTGAGTTACATTGAACTTGAGTTGACTGCAGAACATTGAAGTAGAAGTAATCAGAGAGCAGCTGGAAAACCAGGGCTGGACTTTAGATAGAAGTCTAGACTGCAGAGCAAGGTACCTGAATCCCTTAGCTTTCGTGGGTCAAGATTTGATGGGAAATGGTGGGGCTGTGGAAAGGTGACCAAGCAGGTTGCTGGGTACTGTCTGCTACTTGTGGGAGAAAAAGCCAAGAATGCAGCCCTGGAAAACATTAACACGTAACATCTCTGGATGGAACTGAATCTCCACTTAATCTTTATTTTTCCAAGCAAAACAAAACAAAAACTCCTTTTAGCTTTTCTTCATAGGTCCAGTGTTTCAGTTTTTAAGTAGGTGCTCCTGTTTGTCTTCTCTATCCACCTTAAATATTAAACTCAGAACTCAAAATAGTATTCCAGTAAGTGTCCTGCATTTTTACCACAAAGTAATCAATAGTAATAGGTACAGCACCAATAATTTAAGCCTACAGATTGCCTGAAAATCTTCAGTAAGCTAGTGACTCCAGTCTCGTAGCCAATAACAAGCCGTAGAATTGCCTACCGGACGTTTGCCTCCTCCTGTAACCATCCACTAATGAAGACCCTAAAGAGAAGGAA